TATTCTTGCCTTTCTTTTCTCTCTCCCCCCAAATCCCTCCAGGTTCCTTATTAAATTAAGACAACATATTTCGACAGTTAGATAAGCATATGGAATATGTGGCATTAAAAATTTTGTAGTATACTTAAGTACTTCAAAGTAGCTTTATTGGACTGAGGGTAGTAGTTTTCAGTGGCACAAAACCGTTAAGCCGTGGCATCGTTATCGTCACATTTTAAGTGTGACTCACTGGTAAAAATACCAGTGACTGTTTGGTAATGCTAACTCTCTGTGTCCACTTACCATGTTCTCTACTTTATTTTGTTATTTGGGAACCTATGCAATACGTCAGCAAACTTTGCTGTATATTAGAAACTGAAAAGTAACATTTGCTCTGAGTGCCTAAGAATACATAAGCTGTAGTATACTGCATTTTAGTAGAGATTGCACTATATTCTGAGAACTATAAAGAAATTTAATCTACTTTATGAACTTACTGAAAATCAGTGCTATTTTTGAAACTAATATTTTAAATTAATGCTCTCAATCTTTTTAGTCCCAGTTCTCTAAACTGTGTTTCCCCTTCACATCTGAGGGTCAGGTTTCTTCATCAACCTATGCAATGCTAACAATCGTTATGTAGAAAGATAAATCTTCCCACTTAAAATTTTAGATATCCTCACAGCTTGTCAGGAAAGGTCAGGCTTATTGGACTATTGCTGGGAAGTATGTGCTGCTGATGGTTGTCTTCTGACTTGTATCTGCAAGACAAAAACTGGACCTGTTAATGTATACTTTTCACTGACACTAACTTCCTGTTCGCAAAACAAACCTTCTAAAAAGAATCAGTGGTTTATTATTCCTTTTAAAATTGATATTTTTTAGAGGTAACTGTTGTCCATGTTTGAGTCCCCCAAAAAAGTTTGGCCGTGACTGGTACCTGAGTATTTAGCATCCTTGCACCTATAAATTTAAGAGATGGTTTATAAAATCTCTTCAATTTTTAAATTCAACATAACCATGAAACCTATCTTACAACTGCTAAGAGGCATATATTTATTAAATCCTTTCGTTCTTTTCCTCTCCAAACTTTGTTTGATTATTTCTCTAAAGAGCTAACGTTTGCAGAGGACTTTAATGAGTGTTAGTATAGTAGTTAGCTTTCAATTTGCAAGATGCGAAGAGAAATACGAATGTAAAATATCACTGGAGAAAGTGAGTATTTTGCAAAACCAAGCAGTTTGGAACAGTTTTCAGAAAGGAGATACACAGTTGTAGACTGTCTCAGAAGCTTTAAAAAAAACAAGCAAAGATTTTATTTTGATAGTATTGTGTTTTAGTATGTGGTGGGTTAGGACTGCAAGTAAATATGCCAAAAAGATTGAAGAAAGTTTAAATACAAATATGCTATTTTTTTACTTAATTTAAAAGTAGTTTATTTCAATTCCATTGGAAATATGTAGAATAAAAAAAAATACAAGTGTATTGGATATGTAAAACATTGTTCGGCTATTTAACATACTTACATAAAGTGGCGTAAGACCTGGTCTGTACAGGAGCGTAACTTGTGCATTGCTACTTCAGCAAGAGGATTTAGAAATTGTGCCTGTTTTATTGTCTTTAACACTACACTCGGCAGTTTTGTAGTGGTATGGATGTTGCCATCTTTCTTAAATTTGCATATCAAATGTATTTTTAACAAAATAGTTTGTATACAATTTTTGTACTACCAAGCAGTAAATAAAACATTGATTCCTAAGCTTGCTTGTGATTTCCTTAAACCTCTGTCTGTTGTGTGAAACTTAACCTTTGTGCAGTCTTAGCTCTTAAGAATGTATAGTGCAATCTCATTGCACTGTAAGTTTTTATTTACGGAGATAGTGAGAAGGTTATGCTTTAGAGTGATGTACCTAACTTAGAGGAGTTTTATTTTCTTGAGAAGAGCCTATTGCAAGTATTACTTTAGTTCTGTATTTCCTCTAGAAAAGAAGAAAAACTAAGCTGCTGTCTGCTCAGATTAAAGACCTTTTACCTTTAAAGCATGAAGACTTTTAACTTAATTTTATTGAATTTGACTTGGAGCTTTTAAAAATACACAGCGCTATTTATTCTCAATTGTTCTTACAAGGTATGGAAAGAAGAGTTACGAATTACAGGAAGCTCTTTGCAGTTACTTCTTCTCAGCCTGTCCCTCAGTGACACTACAATGCTTAATTTGTCACGTTATGTTCTCACAGATGACTGCAATCTGTAAATGGCATTAAAAAAGTTTTGCTGTATGAATAGTCTGAAGGAGGCTCAGAGCAAGTTGTTGTGGCTAGCGCATGTGTAGTTATCAGTGTACTGTCCTGTTTGCAGATGTTTGTTCTTTATTTTGATGGGTTTAGCTGCATCACACAAATGAGGCCTGGGTTCTGTTGAGTAGTTACAGCTGTGGGTTATATTCAGAATTTTTTAAAAAAATTATTCAGGCCTCAATTTTCTAAATGAATTCAGACATTACTGCTGATAGGGAAGTTTCAAAAGTTGATGACACTTTTAAATTCCCATTCTCATGGTTTCTTCTGTTGCTTTTTTTTCTTCTGCACAGCCAAAGAGTAATAAGCTAAACTTTGTGGTGGTGTTCCCTTGCCATGTTCACTGTCACCCTTCCCCCCACTACTGTCAGTGATTATCTCAGGTTATACTGAAGCCAAAGTTGAATACAAATATAACCATGTCAACAAACTTATACACCAGAAAACGTAAGGACAGATCATTGTCATTTTATGTAATGCATATTCTTTTATTAGGCAATATAAGCCAGTGTTGAAATATGAAAGGTTTACTGTATTAAAGTTTCTGTGAAACACTGTTACAACTTGACCGGCGTAGATGAATCCCCAAAAGAAATGGAAAGACTGTTTTACAGAGGAAGTTGTTCTTACGTGGGCCATTGTTCTGTTTTTCCACCAACGCATGTGCTTTATTTTTTGCCAAAGGATTATGCAAAAATTGAGGATCCTACTGCAGGATGATTTAGCAAAACTGATGAGGGAGCTAACTATCTTTAGTAAAATCCTGTTTTACCTATAAAGAGTACAGAGCAGATGTAAGTGTATTCTTAAATCATGGTTCAAATCACACATTTTATTTGCTCATATTTCTAAGCCTCTCTGTAACCAATGCTCAGTTGACAAGCATTGGTAGTTCATTCTGTTTTCTTTCTGAACTCTTTCTCTTTTTTCCACAGGTACAAAGAACTGACAAAATGATACCTCATATGATTCCTCTACTCACAAGTGTTTTGTATGTGTCAGTTGTGGAAAGATGGTGTTATTTCAGCCAGCTGGTCTCACTTAAAAAACCCAAAAAACAAAAGACCCCCCCCCCCACCAAAAGGACAAGTGCCTTTCAATTTGTTCCAAGTCTAGGGCTAGGTGTTGTCTCTGTGCACTTTAAGGAGAAATGAACGGAAGCCATTCCTAAACTTTCTGGATACAGCTCTTGAATGCTAATGAACTGTGCTTTTTTTGGTTTATTCACTAAAATGGTTATCTACGAAGGGTAAAGGACATGCCTAAAGAAATGTGAATAGAAAAAGGGTGGATCTGGCTTGAAAACAAAAATAAAAAACTTAGTTTTGATCCCAAAAGATATCTTACTGGAAGCATTAAATGGAGTTAGAGAGGAAGGAGAGAAGATAATACACCAATAACTTACAGGGAGGGTAGATTTTTGCAGCTGTAGGGAGATGCAGTACTTGAGAGGAAATGAGAAAGATCTAAATTATGTTTCGAGCTCTGGGGCTAGGAACATAATATAAGATCTCAGCAATGTCATAGTTGAGAATTGCAAGATTTCCAAGGCAAGGAAGAGGGGGAAATGGCTTGGAAGACAGGAAGGAGCTGAGTTTGCTTTCTTTGATGCATTAACAGCTATAAGTGTGTATGCAGCAGAGTCCAGACTCATTAGAAAGCTCTCAAGGAAATGGTAGAGATTGTGTTCAAAGAAATATTGCACTGAAAGGTCAGTGAAGTTACTGCTGCAGAGAAAGCTAAAGCTATGCTGGCGTTCTGAGTCTGAAAATTAAGAGGGGGCTGAGATAAACCTGTGTTTTGATTTTTATGTGAAACAGGCAGTTGAAGTACCTCAGTTCAAGAGAGTTAACTAGAAAATCCTGTTAAGATTTTTTTGGGGGAGGGGAAGGGGAAGGCCCAAGTAAGTTCTAGCTTGGCTACTGTACGTGTCCAGAACTGCTGTTGTCCTGGCTGTGTTAATTAGACAGATTTTCATCCTCCAGTGTAAGGCTTCCTCTGTGAAGCCAGGCGTTCTCAGTGGGATCTGAACATGCCAAATGCACATGCGCAGGATAGAGATCTTTAGTAATAGCTGCTTTTATTCCAAAACAGGGCAAGAGGAGGAAGAGGTGTCATGCTTCTCTTTGCATGATACTCCCACAATTGGAGTCCTGATGTGGAACGCTGCTTCA